TTACATGAAAAGTCTAAATATAAAATTTATAGGCATTATTAAATTAAGTCGAGTTAACCCAAAATCATACTTGGAGAGAATTTTCACGATAACTATACATATTTTCTGTCGCACCTTACTTTTTATCATAAATTACCTAACCACTATGCTTACACCATGCCACACCATGTGTTTGACATTTTTAAGTGTTTGCTCCTAACTCAACCAACTTATCTAGTTGATGGTTTAATTTGATCAACATATCATAAAGTTGGGTAATCGAGGTTAATTTAAGCAACATATATAAAGATTAATAAATCAGAAGCTAAACTGATAGTGCCATTTCTTTGCCCCTTTATAATGATTTCTGAAAATAATTTTTCGAATTTTTGTGTTTGACTAGAGGGGAAAAATGAAAGTCAATAAAAAATAAAAGTGTGATCAATAAAAAATAGAAGTGATTTTTCAGAAGATGACTTTCCCTTTTTTTAGGAGGGAAGTCATTTTCTGTTTGCAGCAATAGAGTAGCTAATTACCCGTCGTCGCCGCCACAACCACCACCCACGACCCCATTAACACCACCACCCCCACCACCCACCACCACAGTAACACCACCACCATTGTATATTTTAAATATTTAAAATTAAAAATAATTATGCTCATTTTCCAGAAAATGAACCAAACACACTAAGACAGTTTTTTTTTTTTGGAATGCATTCAAACATAGAAAAAGAAAATGTTTTTTGAAAATGACTCATTTTCCAGAAAAATATTTTCCAAAAGTCATTTTCATGCTTCAAGGTGTGTTTGGTTGGGAGGAATGAATAAGGAAGGAAATGAGTTGCAATTCGGTGGGAAAAGAATAATGTAGGAATTCAAATTACATTGTTTGGTAGGAGGAATATAATTATTGGGAATGAGAAGGAAAAAAGTGATATAAAGACTAAAATGTCATTGTGTAATAAGAAGAATAAGGAATAAGGTTCAAATTGGTCACTGAATGTAACCTGAAAATGCAATTAGGCTACTGAACCAAAAAAATACAATTAGGCCACTGAACACTCCAAATATATGCAATTTCACATCATAGCATGTTACCATCAATTGTAGCAGGTTACCTGCTTACGTGGCAGCTGAATTGACATTTTTAATAATTTTAATAATAAATTATAAAAAATTAAAAAATAAAATAAAATAAAACGACGGGGTGGCAGTCGTCGTTTATTTTTTTTATTTAATTTTTTCATTTTTAAATTAATTATTAAAAATTATTTTAAAATTGTTAAAAATGCCAACTCAGCTGCCACGTAAGCAGGTAACCTGCTAAAAAATTGATGGTAACCTACTATCCGATGAAATTGCATACATTTGAAGTGTTCAGTGGCCTAATTGCACTTTTTTGGAGTGTTTAGTGACCTAATTGCACTTTTTTTTTTCCGTTCAGTGGCCTAATTGCATTTTCAGAGTTACTTTCAGTGGCTAATTTGAACCTTATTCTGAAGAATAACAATCATCAAAGGTAATTTTGTCATTTCATCTATTTTTTCATTTCTCAAAAGCATTAAATTGCAATTCAACAAAAAGAGAAAATTACAATTCCCCCTAACCAAACAGTGTAATTTGTCTTGCAATGAAATAAAGTAGGAAAAAAATTACAACTACATCCAACCAAACACTCCATTAAAGTATGCATTGTGGTGCACTTTAGCTCTCAAACTCCCCCTCGCCCTCTTCACTCTATTATACTTTAGGGAAAAAGTCAAATTGGCCCCCTAAGTCATTCAGATAGTGCAATTAGGTCCCATAAGTAAAAAAAGCTCAATTCCGATCTCCTAAACCTATAAAATAGTTCAATTGAGTCTGAATTTACCTGTATAGCAGGTTAATTCATCCACAGCTTGACACCTGGCGCCTTTAAAATAACTTTTTATTTTTATTCTTTAAAAAATTATTTATTATTAAATTTAAAAAAAATAAAAAATCCAGCCACCGGCTGTCCGACGAAGACAGCCGGTGGCTGCATCCTTCACGGACAGCCACGATTATCAACATGAGGTCCAGATCGTGGCCGTTCTGGACCTCATGTTGACAGCTATGGCTATCCTCGCCGGACAGCCGGTAGCTGAATTTTTTTTTAAAATTTTAATTAAAATTTTAATTTTTAATAATAAGTAATTTTTTAAAAAATAAAAATAACAAATATTTTAAAGGCTACTCGTGTCAAGTTGAGGATGAGTTAACTTGCTATATAAGTAAATTTGAACTGAATTAAACTATTTTACAGTTTAGGGATCTGAATGAAGCTTTTTTAATTAAGGGATCTAATAGCACTATTAGAATGATTTTGGGGACTAATTTGACACTTTTCCCTATATTTTATCCATGTTGTATTTGCACTTTCACCCCCTTATTTTAATTTTTAGTCTCATTCACACTCCCAACGATTTCACTTGCCTATTTAGGTCTATAAACCTTACATGTGAATTTTAATCATCCTTTGGACCCAATTAACTTCCACACCTCTACTTATTCGGTCCAATGGACCCCAAACCACACTCCTCCATCATTCATCTTATTCCACGCTTGCACTTTATTTGTTTGCTTTTTGATCAAAACGTGGTTATCTATTTATGTATATCCTACTTTATATATATATATATATATATTGTTTTTTGTTTTTTTTTTGTTTTTTTTTATAATACTATTGATTGATTCTATTACATGTGGCAAACTATGTTGTGGAATCGTGTTCACCCTATTTCAAAACTGTCATAATTATAAATATAGAATTTTACTTTATTCCAAAATTGTCAACTATGAATATAGAGTTCAAAAATTATGAACATAGAATTTTATAATTATGAACATAGAGTTCTATAATTATGAATATATAGTTCTGTAATTGTGAATACAGAGTTCAATAATTGTGAATATAAAGTTCAAAAGGAGTTAATTCCAGCAATGGTCCTCCGACTATAGTGATTTTCCAAAATTAGTCCCCGACTTTTAATTTGGACACTTTAGGTCCCTTGACTTTCAATTTCTTTCCAATTGAGGTCCTTTCGTTAGAATACGGTTCATTAGACTTTAAATGAAGGGGTAAATTCGTCATTTCACCTGCCTATGTATTATTCTTCGTATTTCTCCCTTCGTATTTCGCTGTTATAACTTGTAAACATCTCAATAATAGAGGAACGCACACACGAGTAGTCAGCAAATGGGGAACGACGAGGAACATTTTAGGGTTTCGACTAAGATTATCTTCATATATATCGCGTATACAATGGAGAAATACTAAGAATAATACATAGGCAGGTGAAATGATGAGTTTACCCCTTCATTTAAAATTCAATTAACCGTATTCTGACGAAAGGACCTCAATTGGAAAGAAATTGAAAGTCAAGGGACCTAAAGTGTCCAAATTAAAAGTCAAGGACTAATTTTGGAAAATCAATATAGTCGGAGGACCATTGCTGGAATTAACTCAGTTCAAAAGTTATGAACATAGAGTTTTATAATTATGAACATAGAGTTTTGTGATTGTGAATATAGAATTCAATAATTGTAAATATGAAGTTCAAAAATTATGAACATAGAACCGGACACGGTTCCACAGCATAACAATTGTATGACATGTACTTTATCAACTTACTGACGCTTAACAAGTACGTTAATATCGTCTCCACTAAAGCTCGAACCCATGACCTGAATCACTTATATCATACTTTAACCTCATGCACCAAATTAAACATATATAAATGCATAATATATGAAGTAAACATTAACAACTAGTCTCAACTACACCTAACTCTTCACGGATAATTATGCCATCGTTGAAAAAGAAAATTAAGTCAACAAAGCCACAACTTTTTCTTCAGAGATTACTACCAATAATAAAAGCAATCTAAGCCAAAGAAAGAATATGGGAAAGCGTTACTCGTGTGTGTTTGTTTGTTTGTTTGTTTTTTTTTTTTTTTTTTTTGTTTTTTTTAATAAATATATTTATTTTAGTTGATACTTTTTACTATAGTTTCAAATTTTATATATTTTAAAATTTATATTTAATATAAGAGTTAATTACACCTGATGTCCTTTGTCTTTGGTGATAATTTTAAATTTAGTCTCAAATTTTCATTTTTGTCATTTAATATACCAGATTATTATTTTTTGGACACTTTTAGTCATTCTTATGACTTTTCTTATTTTTAGTAAATGTCATTTTTATCTTTTCATATTTTTCTTTTGTTATTTTTTCGGTTTCAACCGGTTTAATTGGTTTAAGAATTTAGGTATCCTCTGATTTTTAGTAACTATATTTTTCAATAAGTTTGTAGTAAAGTCCTAAACTACTTAAACGGGTTGAAACTGAAAAAATAACAAAAGAAAAATACGTTGTATGAATAGATAAAAATGCTCTTGCTAGAAATATGAAAAGTCACGAGAATGACTAAAAGTGACTAAAAAATAATAATATGTTAAATGACAAAAATAATAATTTGAGACTAAATTAAAAATTGTCGCCAAAGACAAAGGACATCCGATAAAATTAACTCTTTAATATAATGTATAAGAGTAAATTATAAAATTTATTTATTTACTGAATTATTTATAATAAATAAAAATAACTATGAAACTTTTTTTATTAGAGTTTAATTATATGACCACTCATTTATAATGGTAACAGATGTGTCATTACACTAGACAAACGCCTGAAAACCCGTAGCCCTTGCAAGCGCATGAACTACTTGGCTACCTTGTACAAACTTGATTGTTGAAGTTCTCTTTAGGGTTGAGTTAAAGAGTCATTTTACACACAAATAAAGGACAAAAAAAAATCACTTTATAAATGATAAAAAGTGGTGCAAGATAATTAAGGCACAAAAATTATTATTATTTAAATAATTTAGGGATAAAAAGCATTTTTCCCTAAAAAATAAAAGAAAAAGAGTTTTTTTTTTTTTTTTTTTTTTCCAAGAACCTCATCCGAAAAAGAAAAGTAAAAATGTTAGGAGTAGTAGTATACTAGTATGTACTTGGGATTATCGTTGGAGTCATCTCCGGAAAAGCCCTTTCTCTCTGCCACTTCCCCCAACAAATCCCTCAAGCTTCTAGAGAGAGAAAGCTACTAAGCCACCATCCATGTCGGACGAGGAGCACCACTTCGAGTCGAAAGCGGATGCCGGCGCCTCCAAGACCTACCCTCAGCAAGCTGGAACCATCCGCAAGAATGGCTACATAGTCATCAAAGGTCGCCCTTGCAAGGTCTTCCCTTTTCTCCCCATCTCTGTGTCTTCTTTCAAAGATTTGAACTTTTTTCTATTCCAATCGATGGTCTTCGTGTGTTTCCGCTTTCGATTTGGTGTGGGTTGGTGCCCATAGATTTAGATCTCGATGTATTTCCATGATTCCTGATTGTTATATGTTTGTGTGTGGCTTTTTTCCTTGTTACTGCTAAAGATCGTGTGATTTTAGGATGTTTTAATGAAGTGTGTGTTTGGACTGTTTCTTGGTCATATATCTATTCATTGACTATCATCTTACCATGTTAAATCATAAATGTATTGAATTGTTTGTACTAAGTTCTAGGTTTCAAGTCAATTTCTTTGGTTGGTTTAGGGTTCCTTGTGTGTATGTGTGTGTCCAGTGTAGTTTTCTTGTATGCTATTTAATGATGTTTTTTTTTTTTGGTCAATTGGTGTTGGGGTTGAGTCCTATTGTATATACACAACAAAGCTCCAATCTTGTAGGGTATGCTAGGCTAATTTGTTGGAAATCCTTAGATATCCTATTCCTCTTCCTTGTATTCTTAAACACTCATCCTAGGGTTTTCATCTAGCCGACTATTATCTTACTTAGATAAACTGCAGCTCAGTTATGGAGTGCAAGTGAACTTCGTTTATTTGGTGTATGTATCTTGTGTGTCCATTTGTTTCTTGCTGACTATCGTCTTAGATAAACTGCAACTCGGGTTATGGTATAAGTAAATTTCTTCCATTTAGTGTATGTATCTCAATATCTGTAACTCGTGTGTCCATTTGTTTAAGTCTGTATTACTGTATATGTGCATATGTGTCTGTTATGTAGGATGTATGTATTTGTTTCTGTGCACATGTATGAATATGCGAGGAGTGTTTATTTGAAAAGATGGGTTTTTCTTTTTTACTATGTCTCCGATTTCTTGAAAAAAAGGTGGGTTTGTTCTTGTTAAATGTACAAAGGAAATCCCATCATTGCCTCATGGGGCTTAAACCAATATTTTATTTTTAGTGGGAGCGGTAAGTACTTTTAAAATTTTAATATTGAAGATATCTCACATCATGGGTCAAATGGTTGGTGATTTCGTTGATGTTTCATTCATAGTGGTCTAATAGGAGAGAGTGTAATGTTTTTATGGCCTTGCTTTAAAAAAAGTAATTTTATGGGAAAAATGTGAGGTTTTTATTATGTTAGCTTTGGCTTAATTTATTGTACCCTAGTTCTGCTTTTGATTCTTTATAATGAGTAATGACTAAATATTTCTGTCAATAGGTTGTTGAAGTCTCCACCTCCAAAACTGGCAAGCACGGGCACGCAAAGTGTCACTTTGTGGCAATTGACATCTTCAATGGGAAGAAGCTCGAGGATATTGTTCCTTCCTCTCACAATTGTGATGTAATTGAATGCTCTGCATTTTCTTTTCCATTTTTGATGGTTGAAATTTAGCTCATCTCATTCTTACTCTCATGTTTTATTTCAGGTGCCTCATGTTAGTCGCACCGACTACCAGCTGATTGACATCTCTGAGGATGGCTTTGTACGTTATCTTTCATCATTACCTTTAAATGCTGAAATATATGAATATGATTAATATTTAGGACAGAGTAAGAGAATAACAATCTATCTAGTATCTACAATGAACTATCCTATGCTGAAAGTGAGAAAGGGTTAAGTAATTAAGCGAGAAATTTTAATCTAAGCTCTAGCACATTCCTCCGCTCAATAATTTGGCGGTGGACAGTGGGTATGGAAGCCGAAATAGTCACTCTACTCTTTATTTCATGACTAATTTGGCGGTGGACAGTGGTTTATTTTATTTATTGGCTGTTGCAATGATCTTGTGATAACGTACTAATTTCAGTTTTCATTACTTGTAACCATGGTCATCATGGCTCTTGGCTATATAGCGAAATGGTATGTCGTATTATTTTCTTATTGAAGTTTGTACTCTAAGCTCACTACGAAACACTTGTCCCGGGACTGTTTTAGGTGTCTCTTCTCACTGAAAGCGGTGGCACCAAAGATGATCTGAGGCTTCCAACTGATGATGCTCTTCTTACTCAGGTAAGCGATTTGAAACAGGATAGGAACTAGCAATGATTTTGTCATCGATTTGCATTTGCGATGTGATTGACCATTGGTGTATTGGCTTGTTCACAGATTAAAGACGGGTTTAATGAAGGAAAGGATCTTATTCTGTCGGTCATGTCTGCAATGGGTGAAGAGCAGATTTGTGGACTGAAGGACATCGGGAAGAACTAATTATGCAGTTTCATTCCCATTCCCATCCATCCCGCCTTTGCTATAGTAAAACTTTTATAATTCCGAGGGAAAAACGTTGTTCGCTAAATTTTAAATTTGGCCTTTAAAGATTCAGCTGAGATGGCTGGAAGTTTGTATGTTGGAATTAGACAAGTTCCCCTAATCCCTTGTAGGGTTCATCTTGTTATGGCAGCAGATTTAAAGATTATTGTAACTCTCCATAGTGTGTTAGATTGTGCTTGTCTTCCATTTTTTGTGCCAGTTGAGTGCTGCTGCATGCATATTTCATTTTCCTTTTCTTTTTTGATACATTAAGTATCGTGCTAGACTAATCTTAAGCCCCCAGAGCATGCTGGAGCAGGTAAATTGCAAGCGTTTCATCAATTTGAAAACTACTCGTAAAGGTTAAGGGTTTGATTCTTGGCGTGCTAAATCTTCAGGTTAGTTGTTCTACCCCAAAAGAGGTGCTAATAATCCAACAAGGGATTAGTCACACTGTCTGATGGTAGAAATTCTGGGTACATTAAAAATAAGGACTACATTTGCATTCGAAAAGTATCCAACTTCATTTACAACTAGTGCACATGAAGAAGCTACATTAGAACAGCCAGAATGAATTATATGTAAATCTAAGAAGAGTGTTTTAGCACCCATTCCACCATAGTACTAATGCCAAACCCTGTTGCAAGTTTCTTCTTTTCATCAAACACTGGACCTGCAATGTCAATATGCAACCATTCTACTTCCTCATCAACAAACTGCAAAAACAATGGTCAAAATCTTAGGTTATTTTTTTTGTTCCTGCTACAATGTCACAGAAAGATGCATAGGATCTGATCATGCTCTAGCTTCAAAAGTGCAGACACTACTAGGGAAAGAGAACCAGCTAGTACTATGTAGTTTCAAACAGGTTTGGGGACATTTATAGTACCTGTTTCAAGAAAAGAGCTGCAGTGATTGCACCACCATCTCTAGGACCCGTGTTCACCATGTCAGCAATCCCGGATTTCATATTCTCCCAGTAGCTCTCCTCCATGGGCAACCTCCAAAGCTTTTCACCCGCAACTTCTGCTGCTTCAAGCACCTCCCTCGCCAGGTTGTCGCTAGGCGTGAAAACCCCTAGTTTTTAATCAAGATTTAAGTAGAGAAGAAGAAAAGCCATTTCATCGTGTTCCCATATACAACATGGGATTCTGTAACTCCATAAACACAAAATCTACAAAGGCATACCAGCAACAGAGGGGCCTAGAGCAACTATACAGGCACCAGTCAGTGTAGCCAGATCAACTATCTGCATGGTTAAGAATGTTAATCTACTGGCTGTGGGTTTCCCTCATCATCCAAAAGAAAACACTACAAAGATCTGCAAAATGTGATATATGGACTAATGGTTGCATTTTTATACCTTTTCTACACCCTGTTTGCAGGCATATATTAAAGTATCTGCAAGTGCAAGCCTTCCTTCAGCATCAGTGTTGTTAACCTATCAAAAGAATGAATGGCACCATACAATCACATGAATATGAAATTGCAGAACAAAGAGTGCATAACCATAATTAAGTTAATTACCTCAATTCTCTTCCCATTTGAAGCTGTGATAATGTCTCCAGGTCTCATGCCTGTTCCACTAATCATATTTTCACATGCAGCAGTAAGGAAATGTACCTGCCATATCACAACAATTTCACGATATGAGACAGAAGCAAATTTCGCAACTTAGAAAGGAAATGTTGGGCTATGGCTTAGAGAGTCGAGTCCAGCATCCTGCCATTGAAATGTGACACATTTACTACTAGCTATAGGTTTTGGCGTAATGGTAAGTGTTTGATTCTGACAAAAAACATCGATTTGGGGCAGTGGCAATATGACTTACTTCCACTCCAGCAGGCTTTATTTGGCCCATAGCTTTTGCTGCACCCAACACTACTGCAGCACCACTCATATCATTTTTCATGATCTCAATCGCGGAATTTGCCCCGGCCTTGATGTTGTATCCACCACTAGAACGATAAAAGGAATCAATTCAAGAACTAATAACATAGCAAGAAACATAAATGCAGTTACTTTACTTAAAACATGGATTACCTGTCAAAAGTAATCCCCTTTCCAACCAAAGCCAGCTTGGTTTTGACCGATCCACTCGAAGGCTTATAGCACAAATGAATGAAATAAGAAGGATTTGTAGCAGCTGCAGCAACACCTAAAAAAGATCCCATTTTCAATTCTTTGCACTGCTCAACATCCAAGATTGTTGCAGTAAGAACATCACTGTACAAAGAAGCAATATTTTTGGCCTCTTCGGCAAGTGCCCCTGCAGCATAACAAATTAAGAATCCACATATACAGATGAGAAAAATTCACCTAGAAAACGAAAACTAAAACTAAAAGATCAGAAACCAAGAAAAGATGAGCAATATATGAAGTTATGGTCCTGAAACTACTAACCAGGGGTTAGTACATTGGCAGGTGCATTTACAAGCTCTTTCACGAATATCACACCAGAACTAACAACTTCTGAGTATTTCAGTTTCTTTTCAATCTCGGGTCCAGTTCCAAGGCCAAGAATCTCGACAGATTTGAGAGTGGGAGTCTTTGGCTCTAGCTTAAACCTGTTATCTTCAAAAGTCCCCAGCACAATTCCTATGACAATTCAAGATGTTTTACCTAGTTTAATGTCTCAATTCAGAATGATATATATATGACAATAAAGTTTAAGCTACTCGGGAAAACAGATACCGGTTGCCATTGCAGAGGCAGCACTGAGCTTCGATTCCACCGAGAGGCCTTCAGCCGAAGCAAGTGCAACAGCAACACTACTTGCCTGGGCAGATTTAGCAGCTGCAGCAATAGTCTCACCGAGAGAACGATAAGCAATGGTTGAAGAAACTGATGATGACCCAAGCCCCACTAATCCAATCCTTTTAGAACCAAGACCAGGCAGTCTAAGGACAATGGATTGACCAGATTTTCCAGAAAAATCTTCCTCAGATGAGGCTTTAGACAGCATGCCACCCAAATTTGAATCCAACTTTTGCAAGATCAAATTTTGGAACTTGGAATTTGGGTCTCTAGCCATGTCCTTCTCTGTCACACCTACTGCAAGTATGTCTCTTTCCATTCCACCAAATCAACCTCTCTTGCAGCAAACGATATCTTTCACAGCCCATAACAACAAAGTTTCGGACTTTAGTAAATATTTTATCATAAAAGCCTCAAAATTACTAATTTTTTGCATGAAAAGTATCATTTTGAATGAAAGTTCATGTAAGAACGCATGCATATAGATGAAAACAAAGAATATAAGAAAAGAAAGGAAAAAGGAATGAGTTGTTAGTATGGTTAAGAGAAAGAAAGAACCTCGGGACGTTGGATTTGATTGGGTTTAGTGAGGCCAAGAGTTGCTAGAGCTACGGAGTGAGCCATATATGAGCCAAAGCTGAGAATCTGAGAGCTGCCATTGTTAAGCTTCTGCCGATGTCCATTTATAGAGTGCAAGAAGTGAGAAGTGGAAGACATGATAGAGGGTGATGAAGTTGGAGATACCTCTTGCTATCATTTTTGTTGAGAAAAATGTGAATTGTGAGGGAATCTGACATTTTTTGTCGAGAAACGTCGGAGCAAATCCAATAGGAGATTTTGAGAATAATAATTCATAGCATGTGTAAAACATGAACAAGGTTTGTCTGTTGATATTTCCCTAGGATGCTTATCCCAAAAAATCTTTAATTTGTCCGGCACCGGTGAAGTGGAAAATGGAGCAAAATTATTCCGTTGCCGGGAATCGAACCCGGGTCTCTCGGGTGAGAGCCGAGTATCCTAACCAACTAGACTACAACGGAATTATTAATGGCTTTTGAATTTCTTTTTTTATACAAAGTCTTATACTCCATGCATAATTTTATACATATTGGCGATTATTGTCTTCTTCCTCCCGGCAATGGGGTTGTTTATCAAGTTATTTTCTATTCCTTTCTTGTGCCATTTGCTTTGTTTCTTAGTTTCTTAGCACATTAGCTAAGGGTTTATTTGAAAGTTCAAAAAATTTCTCGTCCCCGTCCTAGCGGGAAATTTCCATCCCCGGTCAACCCATAGTCAATGTGTCAAATTAATACAATTTTTAAAAATAAAAAACAAAAAAATTGAAATTTATAAGCTTAATAGGCTTATTTTAAAAATTATAATTCTTCAACAATTAACATTCAAGTATTTTTACTAACATACAAACTAACGAAATTTTAATAAAAAACTAATAATCTAATGTTCTAATTCACGTTACTGTGTTTCAAGTTTTAATTTTAAAATCTAATAAAACTAAATAACTAATAATCTGTCTTCCAAAAATAAAAAAATAAAAAACTAATAATCTAATATTCTAACTCTTTATTCTTAATTCCTAATAATATATATATTAAATTTCGGGGATGGGGCGGGACGGGGAGGGGTATCCCCGTCCCCGTCGGGGAATTTAAATAATTCCCCATCCCCGCTTCCGATCCTCGAAATTTTTCCCCGTCTCCGACGGGGACGGGGCACATTGTCATCTCTACAAATATTTTTAAACTGTTAAAAAAAATTAAACATTATAACTAAATATTTCGTACTCGATTCCTGATCATTTTTCTTAAACTTTACACATGTGACCAACTGAGCTGATCATGCGGGCTATCAAGATGATATATTAGTTATGAGGCCGGAGGAGCAGTATAATATAATGTATCTCCAAAATCTGTAACATATTTGGTTGGGACCCCAAAAGGCCACAGAAATAAAGAAGCATGTGTGACTGTGTGAGGAATGCTTTTAATAAATAAAATTTAAAAAAACAAAAATATGAAGGACACGTGTCAACACTATATCAATTTAACTTGATAAATAAGTCAAAATTGAACTTAATTGAACTATTTTACCGATTTAGGAGATTTGAATAGAGCTTTTTTTACTTAGGCGATACAATTGCACTATCCACTTGACTTAGGAGGCCAATTTAACACATTTTTCAAAGAACAAATATTATTTTATATGCAACAAAAATAAATAAAGTACAAGCTCAAACTCTGAAGGTAATCCATTTTTTTTCTTAAATTATGTACTTGCATAAGTGTTTCATTGTGTGTGTCTATATATATATATATATATATATATATATATATATATATATATATATATATTTGTGATTTTATTTCTATATTATTGATATGTTAAAAGAATAAAAATAGTATCAAAAGATGCCAAAAGTAAAAAAAAAAAAAAATTGATTTAAAAAATTAGTTAGTTACGTTTTACTTTATCTAGCATTATGTATTGGAAATAAACAAATAGAGTTATCATTGAGCTGACTTCACACAGTATACACATTCAAATAGTGACAATAAATTTTTTTGTAAATCAAAGAGCGCCTAAAAATTACTCAATAAAGTCCAAACTGCACCGGAGAGAATAACCAGAAATCATGTGCAACGATAATGAAGCAACATCTTCCCATCCGTATAAGTAGACCTAAACATAAAGATAATCAATCACATAGTGCCACAACACTTCAAAGATCACAATGGCATTTAAAAAGTGAGACTAGACAAATACTTTGTGGTGTGATGATATCACCGTCCCTATGTATAAGTACTAAAGTAAGATCTTAGGTTCGTGTTTCATCTACTCAAGGGTTGACATAATTTGTTGAGCAGATAACCACAAGTGAACATAATTCAATTATTTTAACATAAATTTAAACAATATATTCAATCAAGATTATCACCATATTACATCATTGTGGGCGACATGATCATTTTAAACAAAATAAACTAATAAAATTGGGTATTCCTTATTTAATTACGCGTAACTACCAACCTTATTTAATTGCAACATAGTTGAGGAATTTGGGAGTTTCCTAAAGGGAATCACGGACATAAAGGTCCCCTTCGCAGGCCATGGAAATGACACATACAATTTCCTTTATCTCTTCTAAGTTCTAAGTACAATAAAGTACAATATATTCTTGATTCCCCCATCTTGGCGTTGCCTAATCATGCACGTATACTTGATATAGAAAGCGTATACTAAGCTCAGTGATTTAGTAGGCAGTATGTAAGAGAAGTGATGAAAGTTTAAACTTTGACAATTATGTTATGGTAAAAAAAATATTACAATAATTTTCATTATAAGTAACTTTTAACTCTTAATTTATCACTGAGCTGACTTCACATGCATAATATACACAATCAAAGAAAACTCACTCTTGATTTAACCGTGTCTGACTTCACACAAACTTTCTCAAATAAAGTTACTCAATAAAGTCCGATCCAAACTTTCTAAATAAAGTTTTACTCAATAAAGTCCAAACTGCACCCCAGAGAATTCCTAAAAGTTACTCAATAAACTCCAAATTGCAACCCAGAAAATAACCAGAAATCATATGCAACGATAATGAAGCAGCATCTTCCCATCCGTATAAGTAGACCTAAACATAGTTATGTAAGATTTTCCCTAATAATATATATTATATATTATATATTAGGGCCTTAATTAAGTGGTGCAAGTTAACTAGGCTTAATTATTAAGTGGTCTGGTTGGACTTAATAACTAGTAGTTGTTAGTCAACCAAACTCTGTGCCTAATATAATCAGGATTGATGGGATACAGGATGTTGGATGTTAGCACATTCAGTTACGGTACTCAGACTGCTCAGTAGATACCAATACACCATCTAGGTCTGAGGCAAAACATGGCTAACGGTCTACCGTTAAGAGGCAACACAACAGGAACATCAACTATGGACATGGCTAACGGTCTACCATTAAGAGGCAACACAACAGGAACATCAACTATGGCTGGAGATCAACACGGCTACGCTTCCGCTATCATACGAGGTCAGATTTCTCGTATAATATTGTTCAGTATTAGTTAGATTATTCTAGATCTAACAAGTTACTCAATAAAGTCCAAACAACACCGAAGAGAATAACCAGAAATTATGTGCAACGATAATGAAGCAGCATCTTCCCATCCGTATAAGTAGACCTAAACATAGTTATTCAATAAAGTCCAAACAGCACCAGAGAGAATAACCAGAAATCATGTGCAACGATAATGAAGCAGCATCTTCTCATCGTAGACCTAAACATAGTTACTTAATAAAGTCCAAACAGTACCAGAGAGAATAACCAAATTATGTGTAGCAATAATGAAGCAGCATCTTCCCATTCATATAAGTAGACCTAAACATAAAGATCATCGATCACTGCCACAGCACTTCACAAATCACAATGGCATTTCTAGCTAACATACCCGCTCAAGAACATTCGTTGTTTCCCAGAAATCTTAGCAACCGTCTTATGTTTTCTGCAAAAAACCCATGTATCCGATCTGTTAGTCTTGGTCGTCCCATGAAGATTCAGGCTAGCAAAGTTGCGAAAGCATCAGTTGAAACGAAGGTGGTGCCGGAAAACATGGCGCTCCCGAGTCCCGGCAGCTTTCCGCTTGGAAGAATACATGGCAACCAAAGCTATAAAGGTTAACAAAGCACTAGACGAGGCGGTGGCGTTAAAGAAGCCAATCAAGATTCACGAGGCGATGAGGTACTCACTTCTGGCCGGAGGAAAACGGGTCCGGCCAATCCTCTGCATCGCCTCTTGCGAGCTGGTCGGAGGAAGACGGTGGACTTAAAGGAGCTGGAGTACATTCATATCCACAAGACTTCAAAGCTTTTAGAGGCCTCGGTGGTGTGCGGCACCATTGTCGGCGGAGGGAGCGTGGTGGATGTGGAGAGGCTGAGGAGCTACGCGAGGTGCATTGGGCTTTTGTTTCAGGTGGTGGATGATATTCTTGATGTCACAAAGTCGTCGGAGGAGTTGGGGAAGACGGCGGGGAAGGATTTGAGCAGTGAGAAGGCGACGTACCCGAAGCTGATGGGAATTGAGAAGGCCAGAAAATTTGCAGATGAGCTGGTGGAGAAGGCCATTCACAAGCTCAGTTACTTTGATGCTGCTAGAGCTGCACCACTGTATCATCTGGCCTACTATATTGCAAATAGGCAAAATTAACTTGCTCAATGATACCTCTACATACGTGTAACTTAACTCTTTATAATTCAATAGGTTAATAATGATCTGTCGAGTCGGGAGTGTAATTAAGGGTCTTTAAGACTAGAAATTCAATCTTTTAGAAGAAGAATGTTAATGTATGGACATATATTATGAGGGATCTTAGCCTACCTTAATTGAGACAAATCTTGATTGCCATGTTTAAATTTGATTAGTTTAGGATTTCACAATTTTCAAATACACCAGATTTACACTTTGCTATTGATTTTATGTGTTTTTTTCTGGAGGATCATGTAAAAAATATAATCAACAAGAGAAAGGGGTTGGTAATTAGTTCACATATACCTTCATAATCTCATATTTTTTCAATAAAATTAAAACATATGGCAACCGTTTGATCATGATAAGCATAAACCCTCCGTTCCATTGAAGATTTTTTGCTCATTTTTTAATTTAATATCTAGATAATATATCCTGTGACCCTAGGCTGGATTTAGGAGGCCTATAAGATGATAGGAGGATAGATTGCAACCCGAGGAGCATTGCATTGGGAAGAGGAAAAAGTTTAATTGCAACCTGGCATGGAGCATTGCATTGAGAAGAGAAAAAAATGTATTTATATATTTAAATGACATGTGTTGCAAACTTAAACTGGCAGACTTGCAGCCTTTTGTACTTTTTTTTAAAAAAAAATTGTTTTTAATTAATTTATTACTTTACTGATAAGCATATTAATTTTTTCTTGAGGATCATGTAAAAATATACAGATCAACAAGAGAAAGGGGCTGGTAATTAGTTCACATATACCTTCATAATCACATATTTTTTCAATAAAATTAAAACATATGGCAACTGTTTGTTCATGATAAGCATAAACCCTCTGATTCATTGAAGATTTTTTGCTCATTTTTTTTTAATGTAATATCTAGAGAATATATCATGTGACCCTATGCTGGATTTATTCCTGTAAGAAGATAAATTGCAATATGACATGGAGCATTGCATTGGGAAGAGGAAAAAGTTTATTTATTTTTTTAAATGACATGTGTTGCAAACTTGAAACGGACAGACTTGTAGTCTTTTGTACCTTTTTTTTTAAAAAAAAAAATTGTTTATAATTAATTATTTATTTGACTGATAAGCATATTAATTTTACTCTTTATTTTTAGATTTTATGTATTTGTTACGTTGTGAGGATCATGTAAAAAACATAGGGATCAACAAGAGAAAGGGGCTGGTAATTAGTCCACATATACCTTCATAATCTCATACATATTTTTTCAATAAAATTAAAACATATGACAACCTTTTGTTCATTATAAACAAAAACCCTCTGATCCATTGAAGATTTTTTGCTAAATTTTTATGGAATATCTAGAGAATATATATCCTGTGACCATAGGCTGGATTTATCCCTGCAAGAGGATAGATTGTAACCTGACATTGAACATTGCATTGGAAAGAGGAAAAAGTTTATTTACTTATTTAAATGACATGTGTTGCAAACTTGAAAGTGTCAGACTTGCAGCCTTATGTACTTTTTTTTTAAAAAAAAGATTGTTTTTAATTAATTATTTATTTTTACGATAAGCATATTAATTTTACTCTTTATATCTAGAATTTATGTGTTTTTTTTTTAGGATCATGTAAAAAATATACGGATCAACAAGAGAAAGGGGCTGGTAATTAGTTCACATACATATACCTTCATAATCTCATATTTTTTCAATAAAATTAAAACATATTGTAACTGTTTGTTCATGATAAGCATAAACCCTCTAATCCATTGAACGTTGTTTGCTCATTTTTTTTATGTAATATCTAGAGAATATATCCTATGACCCTATGCTGGATTTATCCTTGTAAGAAGATAGATTGCAACCTGACATGGAGCATTGCATTGGGAAGAGGAAAAAAATTTATTTATTTATTTAATCGACATTTGTTGCAAACTTGAAACTGACAGACTTGCAATCTTTTGTACCTTTTTTTTTTAAAAAAAAATTTTTTTTAATTAATTATTTATTTTACTGATAGCATATTAATTTTACTCTTTATTTTTAAATTTTATGTGTTTGTTGTGAGGATCATGTAAAAAACATAGGGATCAACAAGAGAAAGGGGCTGGTAATTAGTCCACATATACCTTCATAATCTCATATATTTTTTTTTCAATAAAATTAAAACATATGGAAACCTTTTGTTCATGATAAACATAAACCCTCTGATCCATTAAAGGCTTTTTGCTTAATTTTTATGGAATATCTAGAGAATATATCCTGTGAACCTAAGCTGGATTTATCCCTGCAAGAGGATAGATTGCAACCTGACATGGAGCATTGCATTGGGAAGAGGAAAAAACATGTTTATTTATTTATTTAAATGACATGTGTTGCAAACTTGTAACTAGCAGGCTTGCGGCCTTTTGTACCTTTTTTTTTTTTTTAAAAATTGTTTTTAATTAATTTATTTATTTTACTGATAAGCATATTACTTTTACTCTTTATTTCTAGATTTTATGTGTTTTTTCTTGACGATCATGTAAAAAATATACGGATCAACAAGAGAAATGGGCTGGTAATTAGTTCACATTTACCTTCATAAACTCATATTTTTTCAATAAAATTAATACATATGGCAACTGTTTGTTCATGATAAGCATAAAACCACTGATCCATTGAAGATTTTTTGCTCATTTTTTTTATTAATATGTAGAGAATATATCCTGTGACCTTATGCTGGATTTATCCCTGTAAGATGATAGATTGCAACCTGACATGGAGCATTGCATTAGGAAGAGGAAAAAGTTTATTAATTTATTTAAATGACATGTGTTTCAAACTTGAAACTTACAGACTTGTAGTCTTTTGTACTTTTTTTTTTTTAAAACAAAATTGTTTTTAATTAATTATTTATTTTACTGATAAGCATATTAATTTTACTCTTTATTTTTAGATTTTATGTATTTTTTGTGAAGGATCATGTAAAAATTATACGGATCAACAAGAGAAAGGGGCTTGTAATTAGTCCACATATACCTTCATATTCTCATATTTTTTTTTCCAATAAAATTAAAACATATGGCAACCTTTTGTTCATGATAAACATAAACCCTCTGATCCATTGAAGATTTTTTGCTTAATTTTTATGGAATATCTAGAGAATATATATCCTGTGACCCTAGGCTGGATTTATCCCTGCAAGAGGATAGATTGCAACCTGACATGGAGCATTGCATTCGGAAGAGGAAAAAGTTTATTTATTTATTTAAATGACATGTGTTGCAAACTTGAAACTGGCAGACTTGGAGCCTTTTGTACTTTTTTTTTAAATTTTTTTTAATTAATTATTTATTTTTATGATAAGCATATTAATTTTACTCTTTATTTCTAGAATTTATGTGTTTTTTCTTGAGGATCATGTAAAAAATATACGGATCAACAAGAGAAAGGGGCTAGTAATTAGTTCACATATACCTTCATAATCTTATATTTTTTCAATAAAAATTAATACATATGGCAACTGTTTGTTCATGATAAGCATAAACCCTCTGATCCATTGAAAATTTTTTGCTCATTTTTTTATGTAATATCTAGAGAATATATCCTGTGACCATATGCTGAATTTATCCCTGTAAGAGGATATATTACAACTTGACATGGAGCATTGCATTCAGAAGAGGAAAAAGTTTATTTATTTATTTAAATGACATGTGTTGCAAACTTGAAATTAACTGCCAGACTTGCAGTCTTTTGTACTTTTTTTTTAAAATAATTATTTTTAATTATTTATTTATTTTAATGATAAGCATATTAATTTTACTCTTTATTTTTAGATTTTATGTGTTTTTTGTGGAGGATCATGTAAAAGATATACCGATCAACAAGAGAAAGGGTATGGTAATTAGTCCACATATACCTTCATAATCTCCTTTTTTTTTTTTTTTTCAATAAAATTAAAACATATGGCAACCTTTTGTTCATGATAAACATAAACTCTCTGATCCATTGAAGATTTTTTGCTTAATTTTTATGGAATATCTAGAGAATATAGCCTGTGACTCTAGGCTGATTTATCCCTGCAAGAGGATAGATTGCAACCTGACATGGAGCATTGCATTGGGAAGAGGAAAATGTTTATTTATTTATTTAAATGACATGTGTTGCAAACTTGAAACTGACAGACTTGCTGTCTTTTGTACTTTTTTTTTTTTAAAAAAAAAATTGTTTTTAATTAATTATTTATTTTTTTGATGTGATGTGAATGTGAAACTATCAAAAAGTATTGTAAGAATGAACATAAAATAAAATAAAAATTATTACAAATTTAATGATACAAAAATAGGAACCGCTTTCAAAAATAATAGAGTATTGCAGATTTACAGGAATAAATTTAAGCATCAAACTAGACTCTATGCAAGTCAGAACTCAGGAAGAATGAGTGAGTGGTTCAAATGTGGCATATATATGAGTCAGAACTCAATTACGCATATATATAAGTCCTATTTGAATGAATTAATGTTTGGAACATTACATGTATATTTGGGGTCCAGTGCCCAAAAATCAAATGCACATTGTGGGATGTTTGGTTCGGATTTGCAGAAATTATTTCTACAGAAACAATTATGGAGAGTTCACATGTGCAAACATAATCTGGATCACTAACGTCTACCTCGCTGATCATTCATTAATGCACATGTTGAGTTCTTTCCCTATTGACATTAGGATTGGAGTAAATCAAACCTTAAAAGTGACAATAATCACAAAAACATAACATTTAAACCGTACAATATAAACAATTAATATCCCAATCTTCACAAAATCAAGATGATATATTTCTTTCCAAAAATGTTAAATCCTCAACCTCAACGGCTCCCCAGACCTCGGCCCGACAGAGCATATAGAATGATGTAAATCATGGTAAATCAGCTGAACACAAAGACTAAACATTTGCTTACTGCGCACAAGGAACCCCTTCACTTCGAGAGATTGCTCCCACCC